ACATACTCAATCTCTATGTACAAAAGAACATCTATATGGGACCAAGTATTTTCACTATTAAAACCTAGAGGTTGTAAAACCTATAGTAATTGTTAGACCATACTTAACTTTCGCCAGTGTCTCTATGTAATTTATCAAATTAGAGGGGGAAAGAGATTGGGAAGTTTTCCTTTTTTACTTTATTAATGTTGAGACTAATCGAACTTGTGGTCCAGTGATTTACATTACCTTGTGTAGGGTCCTTCCTGACTTCTATAAAGTTAGCAAACATGGTTTGATTCACAGCCCTTCCCACTACTTCAATTGACAGTTTTGTAGCACGAGAGCCAGTTTATGAAATGTCTGCGATTTTTTGTCGTTGTGGCGTTACTAGTAGGCTTTTCTTGTGGGTATGAGTTACGATGATCACACTCAAGTAGGGGTTCCACTCTAATTACTTTTCGAACCTTTTTTGCACAGAGAAAAATCTTTAATTTTAAGAATTTTGGTTAATAAAACAACAAATAAATTCTTTTCCAATCAAAATCTTCACTTTATATCACTTTTCATGGCAATGTAAACCCTACCTATGGTGGATAACAGGTTAGCTATCACTCTGGCTATTTCCCATTACCGCCGTTCGGCTGGCTACTCCCGCGCAGGGCAAAGACGCTAGCTACTCTTATTTTTGCGCAAACAACACCCCAGAGGCATAGTAGAAGATCGTCTTCATCGTCTTCAGAAGGCAGATACCATTTGCTTCAGGTACCTCACATTTGACTTATATTGCTAATTAGTAGAGTTATGCTTGTGTTTGATTTTTGATTTCAAACTTCAATTGGTTTTTGGTTTTCGGTTTTTGGTTTTCGATTGAAACGACCTCCTTCTTCAATGGCAAACAGAAATTTACCTCTTTCTACAATGGCGAAAAGAAATATACCTTTCAATTTCAGTGTCATTTCTGCACGATTGCTTTCTCTGTTATTCGCTTAGGGTTTTTGATTGTAGTCCATATGAACTGATTTGTTATTTTATTCCACTCGTCGTTGCTGATCCACTGCCATTGCCAATTGCTGCTGCAAGTTCAGACCTTCCCTTAATTCTGCTTCTCTATTTCTCTCGCTGCTTCTTTTCTATATGCTGCCTATTCTACATGCACAACATACACATCGCACAAAGCCTATAAGATGTTCGATCAAATGCCACAGAGTGATGACCAACACTCTGCGCATACACACATCACGCGGGCAAACACACATACAAAGCAACTGTTGAATTGGTTTTTTTATTAATAGTTTAAACACTGCTTTTTATTATTTTGCATGATTTGTGATGGGTTTTTTCAAGAAATAAATCTGATATTGCTTTGATAGTCTGATAAATATGAGTTTGCACAGGGATGTGTTCTAAAACTTTGCTTTGATAGTCTTTGATAAATCTGAGTTTGCGCAGAGATGTGTTCTATTTGTGGAAATGTCGAGCAATATTGTTAATTAAATTTGCTTCCAACTATTTGTGGAAATGTCCATACCAATTGCTTTTTTCGTATTGGCCATTTTGTAAAATAATTCATTGTGCTGCTTGAGTTGGCGATAATTGAAGGAGTATGCATTGGTTATGAATTACATGTACGATAAATCGTTGGTGTTGAAAGTGTTACAAAGTTTTAGATAAATTGTTAATAATATTATATGGTTATCTTTATAAGTGACATATTTCTTGATTGGTACTTGCGATGAATTGACAAATGAGCACANTGTACGATAAATCGTTGGTGTTGAAAGTGTTACAAAGTTTTAGATAAATTGTTAATGATATTATATGGTTATCTTTATAAGTGACATATTTCTTGATTGGTACTTGTGATGAATTGNCTTGCGATGAATTGACAAATGAGCACATAAATTAGGGACTTTGAAAAAACATAACCATACCACACATACATATATGCAATTGGCCACAGCTTGTCCGTTCNTATATGCAATTGGCCACAACTTGTCCGTACTAAGAAAAAATTACCCTGTGATTAAGATTGTACCAAAAGACTCTTGATAGACATGGTAATAATGTGTTGTCCATATTTTCCAACATAGGGATAAAGATTATTTTACCAATCTAGGATAAGTAAGAATCCAACAGATTGATAGAGAAAAACAATTACAAAAGAGCCTCTTTCTATCCATGTTAACTTATTNCATAGGGATAAAGATTATTTTACCAATCTAGGATAAGTAAGAATCCAACAGATTGACAGAGAAAAACAATTACAAAAGAGCCTCTTTCTATCCATGTTAACTTACTCATCTCCACAAAAAGGAAAAGAACTATTACATCCAAAGTGGCATCTTTAGCATCTTAAACCAGTTTCATGATCATGATTAACCCTCAAACCATTCCCTCCAAAGTTGAAGTCCTCAAGTTTTATTGGAGTTAAAACAGTTGAAAACTAAAGGCATGGTTCCTACCCATCGCAATCCATTTCTATCTTAATAACCTACATCCACTAAAAATAATGTCATGTTTTCAAATGTTGCACCAGTAAATGTTATTTTTTCTTTTTGGCTACCAAGTCTCAGCATGCAAGGCTTTTCTGACCTTTCCTTGTATGGATATCTATGCTCTCATTGTATGGAATTCATTTTCACCATTGTGCTCCTTAAGTGTCATACTTTATTGGCAAACACTTGTTTTCTCCTTCGTTCAACTTCTTCACGTATTGAATATGAATTGTGAATTGTGAATTGTTAATTATAGGCATTACTCATGGATTCATTCCAACATGGTGCGTACTTCACCAATCTCATGCACGATGGAACAAATTTAGATGATGAGGTTATAGGTCAATCTTCACCAATATCTCCTTAAGTAGAATCCACCACCAAAAAATAACGAGGTGGCAATTTAATAGTAGAGGAAGATATTATGATAATCTCGGCGTGGTTTAATATTAGTTTGGACGTTGTGCAAGGAAATGAGCAAAAATCAAAGATATATTGGTAAAGGGTTTACGAGTTCTTCCGTGAATACAAACATAAGGGATGCCCTAGTTGTAGTCAAAATTCTTTGATGAATCGTTGGTCGGCAATTCAACTAGCCATCAACAAATTTTGTGAGTGTTTTGTACAGATAGAAAGACGTGAAAAATAATGGAGGCTGGAGGGCAGTTGACGGGACTTTAGGCGGCTCTGCATCCTCAAGCTAACATGTGGATAGTTATAGTCGTTATGGACCTCAAATGATGCCAGGATGAGGAGCCGAGCAGTTGTGGCAGGAAGAAACCGAGTACACACTAATTAAACCTAGCAGTAAAGAGAATATGACAACTCATTAATGAGGACTTTAGTGACTGTGACAGAGCCATTAATGAGCCTCTGTGTCCTTGAGACTAATGAGGACAATCATCATTGCTAAGTATTAATTGCCTTTACGCTGACTCTGAATCCTTGGTAAGACCCAAGGTGCTTATTCTCGAGTTGTTAACGCTCGGGTGTAGGTGTCAAGCACCGAGCCGAGGTTATCAAATGATCGGCCATGAGGAATAAATGCTCGGCTCCCCCAAACATTGGTTTGTTCCCCCAAGGGGGTTGATCCTTAAGGGATCTGATTGGATTGCACTCATTACTCCTGGATATGAGTGTCAGCCATTGAATGTTGAGACGAGACTCTCAAACCCCCTAATCATTACTAGTTTAGGTATAAATACCCCTCAAAAAATTGAACAAATGTACGCAACTCAGAACAAGAAAATACACTATGTAGGTTTCCAACCCGACTAACTTAAGTTTTGGGAGAGACAAGTCAGGTGTTCACCCGGCTCCTTTCTTGACATTTTGATTGTTTCAGTTCATCGTTCAGCAGATTGTTGTTTCTATTCATTGTAGGAATTCTCCTGTGCAGGCATATAAATATATCACTATACATATTTGTTGGAGAATATTATTTCTTAGCACTGCACAACTATTTACGAGAAATTTTATTGCACCGAGTTGAAGTTAAATTTTCACTACATATTTCAAGTGGTAAAAAATAAGTTTAACCCCACCAAACTATTATACTGCAAAGATTAGAGACTTATTTTATCAATTTTTATTTTTTATTTTTGGTTTAATAGTTAGGGATATTCAGATCAACTTACTCGCACCTCAAAAAAATTTGTTAATCCGATCAAAGGTAGGTTATTCATGTGGGTCACATTAGGATTAAAATNGGGATCTGATTGGATTGCACTCATTACTCCTGGATATGAGTGTCAGCCATTGAATGCTGAGACGAGACTCTCAAACCCCCTAATCATTACTAGTTCAGGTATAAATATCCCTAAAAAAATTGAACAAATGTACGCAACTCAGAACAAGAAAATACACTATGTAGGTTTCCAACCCGACTAACTTAAGTTTTGGGAGAGACAAGTCAGGTGTTCACCCGGCTCCTTTCTTGACATTTTGATTGTTTCAGTTCATCGTTCAGCAGATTGTTGTTTCTATTCATTGTAGGAATTCTCCTGTGCAGGCATATAAATATATCACTATACATATTTGTTGGAGAATATTATTTCTTAGCACTGCACAACTATTTACGAGAAATTTTATTGCACCGAGTTGAAGTTAAATTTTCACTACATATTTCAAGTGGTAAAAAATAAGTTTAACCCCACCAAACTATTATACTACAAAGATTAGAGACTTATTTTATCAATTTTTATTTTTTATTTTTGGTTTAATAGTTAGGGATGTTCAGATTAACTTACGCGCACCTCAAAAAAATTTGTTAATCCGATCAAAGGTAGGTTATTCATGTGGGTCACATTAGGATTAAAGTATTTATAAAAAAAAAAATTCTAATGACTTGGTTTTATAATATTGACAAAATTCAAATTTAAAACTTTTTAATTTAGTCCTCCTCTTGTTGTCACTTGAAACAGCTTGCGGGTTATTCTACTTTCATCAATTGCTCCGTCTCCTCTCACTTTCTTTACCCCTCACAAAGGCCAACCCCTTCTGGAATTGTCGAGATTCTCCCAAATGACACGTCGAGAGGCTCTAGTGCGACACACTTGGTCACCACGAAAGGCCATTTCCGTCATTTCACACTGAAGTTATCCAGCAACCCAACTGCTGCCAAATTATCCAGTTTACTTGGGTAGTGAGAGAAGAGAACCGAGGAAAATCTTTTGTTTTTGCTGATTCAATGGAGACAGGTAGCGACAACCGAGGTCGCGGCGGCTCTGGCCGTGGTCGCGGCGGCGGCGGTTGTGGAGGAGGAAATCGTGTTGGTAAAGGTGGGAATTACCAACGTCACCAGCACCATCAGCAGGTTCTATATCAAGGTGGTGGTGGTGGTGGTGGAGGAAGAGAAGGGGGTGATGGCGGAAGAGGAGGGGGTGGGGTTCCTACCCAGATCGGTGGTCAGCAGCCAGGTAATTGCCTCGTTCAAAAAGGTCAGAGTGGTGGCGCGTACAGGCCACCACATCTACGGAGTGGTCAGGGTCTGGGGCCTACAAGGGTACTTACTGGAAACAAGTGAAGGGTCTGGGAGAGGTGGGTCTGTTGTGGGACCAGCAGGTGGNCGAGTTCTTCCGTGAATACAAACATAAGGGATGCCCTAGTTGTAGTCAAAATTCTTTGATGAATCGTTGGTCGGCAATTCAACTAGCCATCAACAAATTTTGTGAGTGTTTTGCACAGATAGAAAGACGTGAAAAATAATGGAGGCTAGAGGGCAGTTGACGGGACTTTAGGCGGCTCTGCATCCTCAAGCTAACATGTGGATAGTTATAGTCGTTATGGACCTCAAATGATGCCAGGATGAGGAGCCGAGCAGTTGTGGCAGGAAGAAACCGAGTACACACTAATTAAACCTAGCAGTAAAGAGAATATGACAACTCATTAATGAAGACTTTAGTGACTGTGACAGAGCCATTAATGAGTCTCTGTGTCCTTGAGACTAATGAGGACAATCATCATTGCTAAGTATTAATTGCCTTTACGCTGACTCTGAATCCTTGGTAAGACCCAAGGTGCTTATTCTCGAGTTGTTAACGCTCGGGTGTAGGTGTCAAGCACCGAGCCGAGGTTATCAAATGATCGGCCATGAGGAATAAATGCTCGGCTCCCCCAAACATTGGTTTGTTCCCCCAAGGGGGTTGATCCTTAAGGGATCTGATTGGATTGCACTCATTACTCCTGGATATGAGTGTCAGCCATTGAATGCTGAGACGAGACTCTCAAACCCCCTAATCATTACTAGTTCAGGTATAAATATCCCTAAAAAAATTGAACAAATGTACGCAACTCAGAACAAGAAAATACACTATGTAGGTTTCCAACCCGACTAACTTAAGTTTTGGGAGAGACAAGTCAGGTGTTCACCCGGCTCCTTTCTTGACATTTTGATTGTTTCAGTTCATCGTTCAGCAGATTGTTGTTTCTATTCATTGTAGGAATTCTCCTGTGCAGGCATATAAATATATCACTATACATATTTGTTGGAGAATATTATTTCTTAGCACTGCACAACTATTTACGAGAAATTTTATTGCACCGAGTTGAAGTTAAATTTTCACTACATATTTCAAGTGGTAAAAAATAAGTTTAACCCCACCAAACTATTATACTACAAAGATTAGAGACTTATTTTATCAATTTTTATTTTTTATTTTTGGTTTAATAGTTAGGGATGTTCAGATTAACTTACGCGCACCTCAAAAAAATTTGTTAATCCGATCAAAGGTAGGTTATTCATGTGGGTCACATTAGGATTAAAATATTTATAAAAAAAAAAATTCTAATGACTTGGTTTTATAATATTGACAAAATTCAAATTTAAAACTTTTTAATTTAGTCCTCCTCTTGTTGTCACTTGAAACAGCTTGCGGGTTATTCTACTTTCATCAATTGCTCCGTCTCCTCTCACTTTCTTTACCCCTCACAAAGGCCAACCCCTTCTGGAATTGTCGAGATTCTCCCAAATGACACGTCGAGAGGCTCTAGTGCGACACACTTGGTCACCACGAAAGGCCATTTCCGTCATTTCACACTGAAGTTATCCAGCAACCCAACTGCTGCCAAATTATCCAGTTTACTTGGGTAGTGAGAGAAGAGAACCGAGGAAAATCTTTTGTTTTTGCTGATTCAATGGAGACAGGTAGCGACAACCGAGGTCGCGGCGGCTCTGGCCGTGGTCGCGGCGGCGGCGGTTGTGGAGGAGGAAATCGTGTTGGTAAAGGTGGGAATTACCAACGTCACCAGCACCATCAGCAGGTTCTATATCAAGGTGGTGGTGGTGGTGGTGGAGGAAGAGAAGGGGGTGATGGCGGAAGAGGAGGGGGTGGGGTTCCTACCCAGATCGGTGGTCAGCAGCCAGGTAATTGCCTCGTTCAAAAAGGTCAGAGTGGTGGCGTGTACAGGCCACCACATCTACGGAGTGGTCAGGGTCTGGGGCCTACAAGGGTACTTACTGGAAACAAGTGAAGGGTCTGGGAGAGGTGGGTCTGTTGTGGGACCAGCAGGTGGTGGAAGTGGATTGTGGACTGGGAGGTCATGGGGACCCACTTCTGGGCCTCCTCAGTCTCAACCTCAGTCTCCGAGGGTTCCTGATCAAACGATTCCTAGTATTCCTCTTTAACTTTTTTCTTTACATCTTAATATGAATATGTTTGTGTTCATAGGTTGTGGGGGCTCACAATTCTAAATACAATTTGCGAATTTAACACGAAATTGACTTGGAATTAATGGGTCTATATTTGTTGTAAACTTGTGAATCTATTATACACACAGACAAGGAGCCTATGATACACAATTATAGATGATTAGGTATGAGTATGCACTCATAAGAATTCGACACAACACGACCTATCGAAAGTTCTATTCCTGTGTGTGAATAGTCTTGATGTTTTATATTGAAGAATTTTAGAGCAATTGAGCTGGAACTGCACATGGTGGTTATCTTTTTTAAAAAATAAAAATAGTCAAAGAAAGAGTTATTGCTTTGGTTTTTTAATTTATAGGTTATATATGTCGTCCCGAATCAAAGTAAGGTTTCCTTGTATAGTATCATTTTTATGTCATCTCATTTTTTATTCGTGTTAATATTTATATTAATTAAAAAATATTTAATTTTAAAATAACTCATATGATACTATGAAAAAAAAATTAAAAATATTTATTTTTTATTTACACTATCAACCGTATTATCTGTGTCTAATCTTAATTTTGACTTATTTATAATTTGTATTAATTGATCTTTCTATTTTTAGATTTCGTATTGCGTGGTGTTAATAAATAAAATTGATACTCTCGAATTACGAGTAAATATTGGGTGTAACAGTAAGACTACATCATCATTAACACTAACACGTGATGTTATTATTTAATAATAAATTTATAAATAAGTAAAGTAAATTTCACTTAAATATTTATTAAATAACATGATATTGTAGTTACTAGAATAAGTGAGATTCACCTGCTTATTTGTTAGGATTATTTGTTTTCCCTAAATTACGAGCACTGCTCCATACTTGGTCACCACAAATGGCTATTTGTGTCATTTCACACACACCTTGATCTATTTAAAGCACCACACAACGGACTGCCTCGACCATCCAGCCAGTTTGATTGAATAGTGAGAACTGAAGAAAGTCTGTTATTTTAACAGTTTCAATGGAGAGGGGTAGGGACAATCGAGGAAGTGGAGGCTCTTGCCGTGGTCGCGGAGCCTGAAGAAAGCCTGTTATTATGCACTAGTGAACGAGTTTCTGCGTGAATCTAATGCGGTTTCTTGTCCATTTGCTGTCTGTTCGCATGGTTCTTAAAGCCATGTAGAACTAGAGGCATATGGTTAAGTACTGTTTTCATTTTCATTTTGTGTGGATGTTTGTTTGGTTTTCTGGTTACCTGTCATATTGGTAAAACATGAGTATAGTCAGTTGGGTTTGGTGTGTGTGTGTGTGTGTTTTGATCAAGCAATGGAGAATGTAATATTTACAAATAAATAAAGGACTTAATGTTGGAGTTAGTTTCTAATTTGAACTTTATATGCCCACATCTATATGTGCTTATGCCTACAACTGAAGTTCTTAATGCTGCTTCTTTGGGTTAAATAATGTTCTACTAGAAAGCTGGTGCACAAAGAAGATGCGTAGGGGAGTGGGCGATTTGTAAATGAATCATGCAACCTCAGATTGTTTTAGTGGAAATGGAATGAATATGAAAATATAATACCCGTGTGAATGGAATGAATGTCGAAATAAAATACTCTTATGAATAGAATGTAATATACAATACATTTCAAATGTTGTNTTGTTTTAGTGGAAATGGAATGAATATGAAAATATAATACCCGTGTGAATGGAATGGAATGAATGTCGAAATAAAATACTCTTATGAATAGAATGTAATATACAATACATTTCAAATGTTGTAACTAGAATCAAGTGTTAATGTTGTGTTTGGTACATGGTATTAGACTTTAGGATTGGAACGATCATTCCTTTGTAATACCCATTCCTTTGTTTGGTTTGTGGGAATAAAATTTCATTTCCATTTCTAAAGAATAACTAATCCCATAAATAATGGGATTAGTCATTCCTAAATAAACCAAGATATTAGTCATTCTTTTTCCATCGGTAATCGGCCTAAATTAAGTCGACGAAATCCAATTGTCCTCATCCTCTGTCTCACTCCTCTCATCGTCCAGCCCCAACCTTCTTCTCTCCTCTCTTCTTCTCACTTCACCTCTGTGACTTTTCCTTCATCAGCGGGAAGCATGATATTCCATCCCTCCCAAGCCATTGAGTAAACTTCTTGCATCAAAGGGCCCTCTGAAATCACCATTTGCCCACCAGCATGGGTAATAGGCTCAGCATCAGCAACGGGCTTGAATAGATAGGCTCCACTTCCTGAACTAGAGTACATACCTATTTCTTCACCAACAACATTTTGTGAACCATCATTGTGGCCTATTTTTTGCAACAAACCAGCTTTACATTGAAGGTAAGTTTTTTATGCCGATAGTATTTGGATTTGATGCAGTTAACCCACATGTTAACTCACAAGTTTGTGACCACTCTTGTTTAATCAAAAAAGAAAACGATAAGGAAGAAGTTTATTGAAACCTTTGAAGTTATGTAAATGATTTGATTTTGATGATATTGAAGGGGTTTTATTGGTCATTTTAGCGGATATTATAGTGTTGGTTTGTTTGAAATTGGATAAGTCCTAGCAGTTGTTATTTCTGGAATGGTGAAGTATTGGATGGACTTGGATGCTGAGATTGCTCAAGACTTTATGGTTTTGGCTGCCTCTGGAATTTTGTTTGAAGTTGCCTTGTTGGTTTTATATTTTTTGGTTATTGTATTTGATTTGGTTTTGTTATGATACGGTTTATGGCCTTATCTTTGCTTCTTGTAAATGTTACTTTGTGAATAAAAAAAAATTCCTTTTTGTTTTATATATATATATATATATATATATATATATATATATATTTGAAGGAATTTGTTTTCTAATTTTTTAAAATTTATAGGG